CGTCGTCTCACGGCGGTTGGTGGATCGAAGCTGAGTAGCCATGTCGAAACCCAGAATCTTATGAACATTCGGTCGTTGTCGCTCCCCGAATTGAGCTCCTGCGAAGACAGGGGGATACCGGACGTATTAAACGAGTCGTGAGAAGTGGCGAGGGCCACACGGAGACTAGGAGACTGGAATGTCTCGAGGTAAAAGAGTCTGCTAGAGTAGGCTCAACGTAATAGCTGTGTGTGCTTTCCGATATGTGCTTTTCGTGTAAGTCACGCGCACACTCCTTGAACGCCCTCGAAATGCGAGAAATCACACCGCAAGATTGCCCTCGAGGGCCGGGCAGGGATGGGGACGCTGACGTGGCGAGCGCCGGTGCCGTGCTCTCTGGCGTCAGTGGTTCCTTTGATAGCGTATTCCATTTCTCCACTTCCTGGCAATCAGTTTGTTCGCTGCAAACTGCGGCAAGCTGGATCGCTTCCCAGAATGCGGCAAGGGGGAACGAGAGCGAGTGTGCCAACCCCGCCCCGTAGGCGAAACTCGAAAAAGAGACCGAGAACGGCCGCTTTAGGGCGCGCGGGGCCGACGAGTGTCCCCAGCAGTCTGCGCAAATATACTTGCTCCTGATGCTTTCCTCCCCGGGCGCCGGCGCCGGTTCGATAAAGAGACTCCCGTAGACACGTCGAACGCTCTGAGAGGCGACGCGCGAACGTCAGATTCCAGCTACCTGAGGAGAGCTTTGTTGATCTTGGCGAAGAGATGTGTACCTACCTATTGCTCTACGATCGTGAAGCGCGGGGCTTCAGGGAAAATCCAATCAGATGGAGAGCGGAGAAGACCGTCCTCTGCGGAAGTCTCATGAAAATAATCCTGAATCTCTCTTTCCTGTCTAGTCAACTGAATGATCTTTGAGGACGCGGCTATAATCTCCCCTTTTGCCCACTAAGCGGTTTGAAGGTGTTGACTGCGACTCCTAAAAGATTGCAAGCTATTTTGGGAATCGATTTCTAGGCGCTCCTTCCAGCACAAAGGCACTGCGGATTCGTGCCCGTGTAGCTCGCGAGTCACAAGACCAGGTGGGGTCCGGATTCACCCATGGAACGACGGAGTTCCAGAAGGAGTACGGGTCTGAACTCGGACCACCCGCAGAGGTCCTGCTTCCGAGCTCGGAATCCTCCTACAACGACCGGCCGGATGACGTCCGTCAACACGTCAGCAACTGATTTGTATGCAGCCCTCGATTCATCAAAGTCGTTTCCTAAACTCATTGTGCGTGCATCCGAAAAGCCCAATGTAGTATGCCCGAAGAATGCAGCATGCGCGAAATTCGCAAATCTTTCTCAACCAATTCATCCGACGCCTCTCAACTTATTTTACTCCATCAATTCCCTCGCCCATAAGAGTCTATAAGTCCAGCCCCAACCACCCGAATCCCCCCTCCCTTACGTGCCAACTACTGCTCGCTGATCAACCTCGGAATGCATTTACCGTGCGTCTGTGATACGAGTTCGCTCCCACTGCCGACTACGGGCACGTATGCTCTCATGGCTTGTGCTCGATGAAGGTCAATGAGCTGAGAAAACTTTCGATCTCCGAAGAGTGTTTCCATGGGCATCGGCCGATTCTGAGAGGTACTTCAACCCGAATCGGAGAGACGTAAGAAGCATTCTTCTTCCGATACCAGAAAGCAAACCTCCGAATTAGCCCTCTCCGCTTTGATGGCCAAGCACTCGTGGTTATAGCTCCGCGCCGCGGATTGCATGGAGGGAGGAGAGGACAGGGGAGAGAAACGTCGCAAACATGAACTTTCGCCTCAGTGATGAGGCGGAAATATAAATTAGAGCGGCTCGCTCCGCGGTACTGGAGCCTCGAACAAGCGAGCGGAATGGCGTTCTCAAATGAACTCTGGAAAAGAATCCAAAGCTCCCATAACTTCCGGATGTGATCTTCAGATTCTAGTTCTCTCTGAGGCGCAGAAGACCGTGAACTCGAAACTCGTCGCCGCTGGTGAAGAGCAAGGCGAGGATCGGGACTCGATCCTTCATCGTTTCGCAAGGATTGTTTCTGGCTCTGCAATCCGCAGCATCCTAGGAAAGAGCTCTGAACGGTGAAGCCGGTTACGCTCTCAGCTTGCAGTCAATCAACTTGTTCCGAGAGACTGCACTCTTGGTACTTTGTAGCGCTTCCTGTGGGACAGCTTGCGACAAGCACGAGGGAAAAGAACGCCAGTCAGAGTGGTTCTAGGGTTTTGCTCATGCACTACGAAGAACACGACTCGAAGAGACTCTAGGAATGAGATGGAGAGAAAAGAGAGGGCTATTCGAATGATCCTCGGTAGATTCGTGCCTCCGGGGGTCATTGGGGGATCCCATCGGCTTTCTCGATCGCGTGCGACGCGACGTCCACGTTTCCGGCGACTGGACCCAACGAGTTCCCGTGGTTCGCGAGGGAAACTCGGAATGCGTTCCAATATCGCTCGATTGGCTCGGTTTACTTCGTCCGAGCGATTGGCTGCCGCATTCGTCGACGCGGACAGGATCATCACAAGACTGTCTCGTCATGAATCAGCCCGGAGAACCGGACCAGTCGGAATAGATAGCTTACTCGAAATACTACCATTCTGGCAGAGCACCGTCCTGCGTCTTGTTGCTACCGAGAGCCCGTTCTGACCCCTGTCGTGACCGAGAACGCTTCGGGAGAGAACGTAATCCGGGAAAGGCAAGAAACTCGCTCGCGTCCGACCACAATTCCTCCGATCCCCAACTCTGAGTGAGAGTTCGACAATCGGCTTGACCCATGGAGGGCGAGAGGATTGTCCCCGAGTTCCGGGGAATGTTTCGACCGCCAACCTCCCAATGGAGTCACTCGGCATACTCATACGGTTCGCGATTCCCGATTTCGCATTGACCAATCCTGAACGGGAAGGATCAGTGGATACTCACTGGAATGGCGTCTACTTCATCCGAGCAGCGTTTCGATGGACGAATGCGGATGTCCTACGGCAGGCTATGCCTTGAAATGCGGAGTCCTGTCCTACGGCAGGGTATGGCTTGAAATGCGGAGACAAAGTGCGTAGCTCGTGTCTTGTGATCCGCCTGCGACCCTCCACTGAAGTGCTCAGATCCCTCGAGATTCTCGACATTTTAGAAGGAAGAAAACAGGGATCAACACGACGTCGATGGACGTTCGTGACGAAATTCCGGACAGCATCACGCGTCGACCTCGCTCGCTGATAAAATTAAAATGTCATGTCCGAAGTTCGGCGTTCCGGCCTCGCGCCTCGGAAATGTCCTGTAGCCCGCTGTTCCCTCCACTCATCATCTGGACGGTTAAGCTGAATTCGAGGAATATGAAGACCGGAAAAGCGAGCAAGCTAGGACAGGGATAACTCGGACCTTGACTCAAAATATTTAGAATATTATTTTATTGTTTTCTCGCCGCTGCTCTTATGAGCTCGTGATAGAATACAGTTTGATTCGAGCGTCGTCCATGGCTCGTTATCTTTACCATCCATTGCTAACAACTTCAATTACCCGTTGTTGTGGGTTGGTCATGAACTCATCCGGGGATCTAATTAGCGGTGTCGCCATGGTATCCAAACAAGTTCCGGGGGTGCTCGTTGCACGATAATTATTTCCGTTTCATTTCTCAAGTCGGGTTTGTGGAAGTTTGTGGGACTAAAATCTCTGACAACAAATGTAAAGGTGCGCTGAATTGCGGATCAAAAAAGTATTTCTTTCTCGCGGGCCCACAAGAAGCGAGGGACTTCCTTCCCCCTGAACTTTGGGCTGGACTCTCCACCCTCTGGGCTCGAGGTCCTCGGAAAGATTCTCCCGCTGGAGAATAATCATCGTCTCGTCAGAGGTTTCTCCCAGATCATCCGTCACGACATTTTCGTCTTTTGATTCCCGGGACGCCGACGGCGAATGTACCTAGTAGTCGTGTTCTCACTTGAAACGCTAGGACCGCAAACAGCGAGCCCACTTTCATTAGCAATACGAACCTCCTACAACTCGAAGAAATGATCATACCCAGTCAGTCGTTGAAAATGTGAAGATACATCGGAGGTCGAGCCCTTGGCAACGAACATGTGCGGTTATTTTTCTGGGGCTATAGAGGCTCAATAATACCATCCAGTTCGATTGAAGTTTTTTCCGTCAGCGGATACTTTCTCAAACAGTTATTCCGCTGTGCCGATAACGCTTCCACCGACTCTCGAATAACTAGAACAGACGGGCCTCCCGAGCGTCTGTCGAGACCACAAGAACGGAGTCGGAACGTCTGTCCGACTGTGAGTTCCCTCCGGAGACGGTGTCCTATTTCAAAATCTAGCAGTCGAAGATCAGTAGGGGTTCTCGATTATACCTTCGTCCGAGCGCTGGAACGTGGCTCGAACCGGAGGCGGTTCCACAGCCGATATTCGTAAGCTGAGAGAACCGAGACGGCTTAGATTCCGGAAAGTACTCATCCGGTCTGGAGGCTTTAAGCATTTGAATAAATAAATCCTTACATTCGATCAACCTGTACAGAACAATTCGTACTCTGTTCGGCGATATTTAACCTATGTGCCTCCCTACGTAAGAGAGAATGAGATGTGGTGTCACTCAGACCTCTGGGAACAGTTTAGTTTACACTATGTTTCAAGCAGTTGGAGCTCCCAGATCTCCCCGCATCGGATATATGCATTTGGAAACCGATTTCTCGAAGCCGGGAATGAATTGCTTTTCGCCGTGCACAGATATATAGCGGCATCTTCTGATCCCGACTCGTTGTCAATGGCTTGAACGAAGAGACGGTGACGCGAATGAGACAAGGCAGAACAGATCCCGCCGAGTCTATGCATAGCTTGTTGGTATCCGAATTACTCCGTTGAATCGAGACGACCAGGTCGCAACGGTGTCCCGCACGTCCCGACGCTCATGTAGGGTATTGGTTCCTAGTTTGTTTGGGTAGGCCGTGGAACGATTCGCTTTCCGCCATTATACTGGGACTCCGAAACTCAAGGCGGAATTTCAGGTCGTCTCGTTGTTTGGAGCAGACGGGGCGGCACTCATCGATTTCGGCGACTGCTTCCTCCCGTTCGACAGGGGATTTTGCTCTTTCATTTGCAGCGTTTCAGTGAGCTTTTTCAAGAAGGGTTGTCCTTCGAAGAAATGTCCGACATCTTTTTCGTACAAGAGATCCTGTTCGCTCTCGGTCATCGCCGCCTCTGCGCCTTGGAGTTTGCTGAAGCCGGCTTCGAACTCGTCAGAATCGTAGACGAAGTCTTCGTCGTCATTCAGAAGTCGGCTGTGTTCGGAGTCTATGGAGTCTTCTGTGCGTCTGGAACTTCGTGAACTGCAGCCGTCTCTGGATGATTCCTCTTCTAGCTCCGGGAAATCGTTCTCTCCCGCGAGAGCCATCATAGAACTACCTCCTTCAGAGCGGATCTCGTCGTCCCAGAGAGACTCGGAATGCGAATCAAGATCCGAGTTCATAAGGGGCGCGGTGGAGTCACACGACGCTTGTTGGGCGCGCCGTAGAAGTTTTGACGGACGAATCGACGAAGTAGCTGCGGGAACAGGGAGCGACGCTTGTCTGCAAGTATGTTCGGGAGCTCTGAGAAAACTGAAGGAATGACGCCGCGCCGCGCACAAAAATATCGATCAGCCACTTCGGAGAGAACCTACCTGAAGAGAGGCAACGCTGTTTGAGTTTCGTCTCCAGACCGAGCCGCGCAGGAGCTCTTCAAACTGGCAGATCTCGACGACCTAGATCCGGGAGGGCTGAACGACGCGAAGGCCATTCTATTCCCGTCGTCGTCGAAACGGTGTTTTGCCGCCCGAGGATGGATACGCATCGAGCCGTCATCGTACGTGACGTCGCTGGCGTTCGATCTAGTTGGGCTAAGTTTCACAACTTCGGCCTGTCGTGATTGCTCACTCCATTCTAGCGGAGATTTAAGCTGAGATCTGCCTGCAAATCGATTACAAGTTCCGGAAACTCTCCTCGTTCCTGATTGTAGAGAGAACGCCAGAGCTCAAAACATCGGAGGAGCGCGAAGTTTTTTGAGATCCCGGGAGCCGAAGTCGGAGAGTGCGTCCAGAACATGCATGCCTCAATCTCAGCAAGCGAGAGAGGGCGCTATTTCTATAGGAGGTTTCAGCGCGTTCCATGCAGGGAGCGGGAAGCTCTCCAAGGAAAGGGGAAGTCTCCAATCGTAGATGTAAAAACTCAAGGCAACATGCAAATCACAACTCAAACTTCACGGAACGGTGCGAGTTTCGTTGATGATCCATGAAAGTTTGCGTGCACTGGCTCATGCGAGGCACCTCCCTGCAGGTTAGCTGAATTGAGTTTGAAAGCAGGAATAATTAATTCCATTCATTCATCAAGACTATGAGCTTTGATCCTCGAAAACACTCAGGAGTGAACGGAGAGTGATCGAGTCAAGGCCATCAACGGGATGGGTTAGGAATTGAAGAAAGCGTTTTCTTCTCCGGATATAAAAGAGGTTAATTTGTGTAGTGTTTGAAATTAATCCGGCGAGCCATCGCATCCTTTTCCCTGGTGCTGATAGGTTCTTTCTTAGTCCCTGTGCGGTGCGCTCAACACATGAACTCACTTATGACAGGGGAACGAGTCGTGAACGAAGTCTCTGAACAACTCGCCGCGAGGGCTGCAGACGATGAATGCCGTTTCGCTTGGGAATCATTGTTTGTACTCTCCTGTATCATTTCAGGATAGACCCACTGCAAGGCCGATGGACTGTCGCACAGCAACTCTCCCAAGGAACCCTCATTAGCGCTCATTTCCGAACTGGAACGTCCCCGAACGCTATTAGAGAGACCGTTAGACTCAAGGAACGACCGCATGCGGTCGCCCTGGACATAAACATGGTAATGGAAGATCTGATTATTTTGGAACTTGTACATATGAAAGAGATGGAGGAATGTAGGTCGGGAATCGCGGAAGTCTTCGGAAATTGAATTCCTACGGAGCTGGTAGGCTTCACAGATCCAGCGTCCGCGAAGATACCACAAGATCGAATCATAAATCGACGGAGACAAGAAAAATTCACGGTGTGAGCAGATACTCGGAGTGACGAACGCACTCCACTCGTTTCCAGATGTCAAACGCGGACTGCTTTTACGCAGGACATCCAGAGGTGACAACAGCATCATCTGAAGCAGTCTAAGGGTCACTGCTACAGGGCGCGATGCACAGGTTCATCTTCAGGGTGCGAACATGACAATGATGCACAGAACTAAAGTTTTATGTTTGGCTGCTGAGTACGCAAAGGCAAACATAAGGCGACGAGAAGGCGACGTCGATGACGCGACTCTAGATCATGATTAATGATTCTCGCAAAAACTCATAACGCATATCATAAGCCTGTTTCACGAGAGATTTCCGACCATCTGCTCTCCTGAACTTCGCCGGACAAATTCGACGCAACGTCCCGCCAATGTGGATTCGAAAAAGGCAGCGCATGGCATAGGATGACGCGGGAGTCATTCCGGGCACGCAGATCTCGAAACTCAGCTGAACGCGCGTAGAATGAGGTTCCGACTCTCTTCCAATGGAATAGCTGATGTTTTGTATGTTCTGATAAACACACTCACCGAGTATCTTCATCCTGGGAGTCGACCGACCGGGACGTTGCAGCGTCAAAACTACACGCTGGTGTAATCTCTATCGAGATCTCACTGACGCGACGGCCTGGAGATTCCTCTTCTTGTCTCACCCTAAACTCCACTGAAGGAGACTTCTTCTCGACGAAAGACCGTGGAGGCGTTGAAGTGTTTCTGCTGCCTTTAACAATGATGGGAGCCGGAGCTGCGTATGATGGACCGGCTGGAAGAGAATTTTCGCTCCTCTTGGATACTGGGATTTGACAGAGCGGCTGCCATACGCAAAGAGCCGGTGCGACTTGGGAGACGCAACGTTGCCGTCGGGTAAACTCCAGTCGACAATGAATCACCAACCTCGGGTATCGTCGTCGGCGTCGAGTTCTTCGTCGTTTCTGAAATCGCCGTCCCCGTCCGATTCCTCGTCTACGATGGTCTGCAATACGCTACTCTGGCGCCTGGTTTTCATGGTCTGCCTCACGGGGAACACGGAGGTCTCGCAACCACTGTTGTTCCCCCAGAGGAAGTTTGGTATCGGTTGGGCGGCGGTAGCGTTGGAAGCTGATGTCGACGGTAGCGGCTCTTCATACGAGCCCGATGAAGCAGGTCTGGGCTCGAGCTCACCTGGAATGAAATTTTCTCAAACCTCTTCCTTCAAAGGATTTGAATTTCCGTCTGGTACTGATCCGACGCCCACTTGCTGTTCTCGGAACAGGAAAAATCCCCTCCCCATCGGATTCTCTTCTATTCCTCTTCTTTCTATGCTCTTGAAAGATGACCGCCGTGATAGATGAACCTACCGTACACGGTCGAGTACATGGGCTCGGCGGGCTCCGAGTATTGATTGCTCGTCAATTCGTCGTGAGTGAGCTTGCGTTGCAAAAAGTAGGTCTTCATCTTGCCCTTGCCTTTAACTTCGATTTCCCCGCGGCATTCGAAGTCGTACTGGTCCTTGAGCAGCTGGTAGACGTCTTCGGTGACTTGGCAGTTTTTCAACTTGCCGGTCGACTCCATACGGGATGCCACGTTCACGGTGTTGCCCCAGATGTCGTATTGGGGTTTTCGGGCTCCGATAACTCCGGCCACGACCGGGCCGATGTTGATACCCACTCGCAGCATGAAGGTGTTGTAGGAGTTGTCGTTGATATCTTTCAGCCGTTCCTCCATGGCGAAGTAGAGCTCAGCCAGAATTGCCATATGACTCGCCGCCGAGCTCGTGTTGCCCTGGAAGGGTGAGGAGGAGCGAGAAGCGTCAGTGATTGGGTCAGAAATACGGCGCGGCCTTCCAGGGGGGGGGGGAACTCGCGAATCAAGGAGAGAGCGTAGAGCGATTGGTAATGAGTTGGCAGTGTCCGATTCCTGTGTCGGCGCAAAGGTTCTTCGATTCCTCATTCTTATCAGTAAGTCTCACTGGCTCGGTCTGCTAACGCAGAGAGATGGGGAAACGAACGCCAAAGATAATGCAGAGTTTGCAGATCAAAAGACTCTACTGGTACAGAATCGTGGGAGAACTCTGACGGCCTTCTCTATCCATTCCCCGAAAGCTCTCCGAGAAAGGCCCGAGGAGAACGCGAGAGAAATCTGGCAGAGTAAGCCCACGCGGTGAGATGGAGCCAGAGAAGGAACGTAATCCACTTCGGGCATGGGGTTGAGTTCGTATTGAACCCTCCATGTGGAACACTTCTCAGACAGTTTCCATGGATCGCTCTGGAAACCTCTCTGGGATAGTGAGTTTGACCCCTTCACTCGGACGTTGGTCTCGGCCCCGAACACGATTGAACGATTCAGCTCACTGATCGACGACCAATCCCACGCCATCACTGTCAGCTGACGAGAGCGCTGACAAAGGGTTCGGAAGTCTCGTCTTCCATTCTCCGGTCGGAATCGACTCATTGGTTTTCACAATCAGTTCAGACCTTCTTAGTGCGCTTAGCCGAGAGCGAAACGGCGGGAGTATAACGAGAGGATCTTTCGACGCCACTGGACCGTGTGGATATTCAGTTTTGAGGCGATGCTGAGCCAATTCCTCCCGCTAAACTGCAGCGAATAGACTCGGGATGCGAGGACTCCATCTGCGGGAAGGACGAGCTCGAAAGGATTTACGCTGTTGTCGCAGGCGGAGCCCGCGGTTAGAGAGCTTCCTTTGTTGGTTAGAGGCACCTACTTCCGACTGATAGGGGGAATCTTCAGCGAGGGAACGGAGCTTCTCCTTCTTCCTTATCAGTTCCCTCAGGAGGTCAGTCTGTTCCCATTATCGGACGCATCCGAATCCCACTCGCTCTCTGTTCTCCTCGGTCCCTTCCTCCTTGTTCCGAAATCGCGACACACTGAGTCGTTCGAAGAAAGGCAAAAGACGACATTACTGGCCTCCTGAGACATCCTCATAACATTAGTATCTAAGCTATAAACTATGACCGCCCCGTGCTTTTCCCAGCCATGAGTTTACAATGAGCGATGAGAATCGCTGTAGAATCCACAGTGTACAAAAGAAAAAGGAGAATCGACTCCACTTAATGTGATCATTGATCACGTTGGCGAATTAAGCTCCGATCTCTTTTGTCGGATAAGTCGGTGAGTGCCCGCCTTGCTCCGCGAATCCGTCACAAGAAGCAATAGCTCATCGGTCGCTTCCGGGCCAAAGGAAATATCACAGGGAATAACACTTATCGGGGCGAGGTCAGTTATTTGAATGATAGGTGAAGACCCTCTAGACATCGGACTGAGCTGCGCCCGGATATTCTCATTGAGATTAACGGAAGTCGAATTCAAACCTCTCATCAAGAATGTGGAGTGCCATCCCCATCTCGCACTCTGACCGCATCAGTGTACTAACGGGAGAGGGGGTCCGAGGGGGGCATTGTCTCCTCCGAAAACATCCTGAAGCAAAGGCCGCAGGGAGGTGCGTCATCATTTTTAGCTCGTGCCCCCAGCTCCCTCCCCCGAAATCCGACTCGGCTCTCTAAAAAAAAAAACGGCCAGGGAGTGTCGTTGACACCACCGTCATTTTGCGTGGAAACGTTTGCGATCTCTCGCACTACGATCTACGATGAAGTTTCAGTTTGTTCCCGCTACAGGACTTACTTGCGCATTCAGTCTCGTCTACGCCGTGGAGTACATGAGATTGGGATGAAATGATTGGACGGTACCGTATGCGGCAGTTTCAGCGACAGTCAGTCCTCTGAAGTTAGCCCGATCTCCTCGTTCTCACCACCGAGCATGTAGGGCTCTCGCCGCAAAATAACGGGTATCACTCGCTCGACATTGGTGCTCGAGAGACTAGAGAGCACACGTTCCCCGTTACACTCCTCGCCCGGCGTCGCGCTGATTTTCCGGTTGAAGTTTTAGTCCTCGGTGGTTCGTTGAAGTCCCCACCCGTCCTTTCCTCGCCATCTCAGTTCTAGACTTGGGTCCCCTTCTCCTTGTGGATTCCCAGAACAGCGAGGGTGAGGCACAGTATTCCAACACTCACCGGATGATTGCTGGAGGCATGCATCAACTGGGTAACTATGCGTCCATTCACGAGCAGTACTCCTGCAACCCGCTCACCCCGTTCACTGGAGGCTTCAGCAGAACCTTATGCAGGAACCCTTGGTAGAAAGCGGAGGAACGACCGGTCCCCACCAGCTTCCCGGCGGAAAGGAGCCAAACCAGCACGGCTCCGACAGTACTGCCAGCACGAGTAGGTTCAGAGGGGTTCACGACTCACATTCTCGGGGAACAGCTTATCGTCAATTGCATCGTCCTTCGTGATCGTGAAATGATGGTGAGGCGCTTTTATGCGGAGACAGAGCTCACGTTTTCCGTACTCTCCGCGAAGTCCACTAATCAATCCACACTGCTTTCCGAAGGAGCTTCATCTAATATTCAACCCTGCGACCCGGTAGCAAATCGATTTCAGACGGGACTTTCCTCTCATCTCGAACACTCGGCCTCGCGAATCGCGACTCGTAACTTCGTCTCGGCATCTACCCCTCGATCGATTCGTCCAGCTCAAGGAGTTGTGTCCCGCGTTCGATCCCACCACGAGCTTTGTTTCCGCTCTCGAAGTTTTCGCACAAGTTCAGAATCTCCTGAGAAGATCCTCCATCCACGCGCTATCCGGAACTAATTCAGGTGCACCCAGGACTCACTCTCGGGGACCTTCAGAGATCCCAAGGCTGACCACCGGGGTTGAATGGCACATACCTCCGTGAATTCCTTTCGCATTGGTGCATTCAAGTACTTGACCCTGTTCTGAACGACACAACCTATCGGGTCGCGAAGCGCCTCGAATTTCGTTGAATGGAGAACGCAGCGAATCGATTCGACCCCCCGAGCGAGATCGAAGGCGTCTTCATGTCAAAAGCTGGGCACGCCACTGTCTGATCGTTCGGGTCCCGTCCCACAGACTGGTGCACCGCGAATGATTCCAGCCCAATAACCACATCTATCTGTGCGATGATATACCCGCTAGATACGAGCCGTACACAGATCATTCGCCTGCACCTCATCTGTCATGACCTCGACAGAGCTCGGGCTCGCAGAGCTCTCGCCAGCTGAGCTGCGATCGGTGCTCGAGCACTCGACGAATTGGTTCCCTACGGTCATCCGCACGAGGTCGGTCCTAAGGACTAAGACGGAGCCGGAGTCAACGCACTGCTTCTAGGACATGGGCGCGCGCTCTTTTGCTCCGGGCTTAGATGATCGAACGTATGTACGTACGTCGGTAGTTCGGTCGAGAGGACGAGCTCGTCGAAGATGTTCATAACACGAAGCCCATGGAGAGTCGGACCATTAAACCTAAGTCATTTTCTTCACTCTCCGGGCGCCGTCAGGGGATTAAGCTCGCCAGCAGTAGACGAAACGTCGAAAACTCGGGACCTGGAAGTGGCGCCTCGACGTATCCACCGCGGATTGACTGAAGTAGTCTGTGCTCTTCAATTACGATCTCCGCCCTGCAAAAACCTCAGACCAGAATGATGGTTGCGGAATCCGTCCGCTGACCTTGAGACACCTGTCTTGACCTTGGACGCTGGCAGCCCTCGCATGACGCCCCCGTCATTTGGGCTGTTCGGCAGAGTACGCAATATCTACGAGGAGCGCGCTCCCCGGTTGCGAAACGGTAAACGCTCCCGTAGAAGCTATGCGAAACGAAAACGAAAACCCCTGGAGCGGAAGAACATGAGCGGGAGAAAAACACTCTCGGGAAGACTAATGTAATCCGGGAGACTGCTTCCAGCGATGGTAGGGCTCCCATGATCGATGAACAGCTCGCTTTTCAACAAGAGAACAACGACTGCGAAAAGCCGGATCGCACACAAAAGACCGGGAGACCCGCTGACTTTCAAGCCTTTGATCCGAGACTCGGATCTCCTAATTATTCCGTTCGCACGGATAGGTGCCTCCGGCAGTTCGGCACACATGGCTCATCGGGCCGCGTCGTAAATCATTACAGCGTTTTCCTCCTGTTCTACGCGCCGCCTAATGACATCTGGTTTCCCTCCCGTACTCGCGTCTCTCGTCTCCAGATCCATTGAGACTCTGCATCGATGAATCGACGCCGCACGATCGTCTAAATTGAGTACGATTCTCTCGACGTACAACTGTTTCGAAGAGTTCCCCGAGCACATTTCCGCTCCGCGGAATCACTTCGATTGCCTTTCACAAAAAATAACGAGAGTCTCAACCGTTCTTGCTCGTCAATGATGAATTTCCTGCCCTCCCGACATCTCTCAGAACTCATTGAGAACGTGGTCGTCAGGATTACGCACCTCCATAGCGTAATTCTGTGTCAATGACCGTCGCGATCGGAGAGATCCTTGGTTTTCAATTTCCAATTCGTCTGCGCTCATGAAAGGATCGTAGGAGGTGTTTCCCGACTGTTCTACAATTCTATGATATGTGGACCATGGGCAGTAGCCGGGACTGATGCGAGAGAACCATTGTGTGAGGCAAGATCCGCCCCCTTATATCCGTTTGCGACGTGGACGGCTCAGTGAATTCAATTCGAGTTTCGTTGAGGGCAGGCTCACATTGAGTTTTTCCGGGAAAGAAAAACAGAATGAGTATTGTCATGTGCCCCGGGAAACTTTCGTGCTTCAGCGGATGTCGAGAATAACGGCGCGGCGTCGGGAGCTATTATAGCGGTAATGATACTCCAGGTGAGTGGTCGACTTGTCCAAGCTCGGAAAGAGGTCACGCGATTCGTTGACGCGTATAAAGCTCCGGCTCCCTCTGGCAACTCCTACATTCAGCCCTGTTAGGATGACTCGCATCATGAAACTATCACTATTACTCGGAGTGCTCATCGTAGTCTCGGCTCTGGCCGATGCCGTTCCTGGTGGCGGTTCCGGAGAGGACGGTGCAGCAAACGGAGACGGTGGCGGAGCGGGCTCCAGCGGTCCCGGAGCGACACCGGGAACGCCCCCTGGATCCACCGGGGGACCGAGAGGAGAAGGGGCTGGCAAAGGTGGAAGACGTCGCTGAGGAGATTTCGATCTTCGATTTCGAGATCTTTTCCAAACAGAGCAGTGTCTGCGATTCTCGTCCTCCCGCGCATCCTATCAGTGCCGAGCTGAATAAAAACGATGAGGTTTTTCCTCCCGGCCATCGGCGCATTGACAAGGGAATCTTGCATTTCTCCAGCGAAAAAGTCCGTCTAGAATCGGAGCCCCTCTGAGCCTGAGTAGGTCCATCGCTCCGATTTCCCTCTCTGAGGATGAAGCGGTCCGAGGACAGGTCGGTGACAGATCTGTGGTCTACGGAGCCGCTTATACCAACGACGGGTAGGAGACTTCTGAGTTGGAATAATCGATGGCGAATAATCCCAGATACTTCGTGGAATGTTTATTGGTCATGGCTGTAGTTTGTCTCCGGGTGCGTCTTATTTACCGTGGGTTTTTTCTCCGAAGAGGCCCTTCCCTGACAAGAATACCTCCCCGTCACGAAGTTGGAAGCGTTTTCAATCCTCCGGCTGTTGATTCCGTCAAGAATCAGACTCGACATTGCGCGACCTGGTCCGGCGGAAGGGAAGGATACCGTTTGACCTACCCTTTGGAGTAGACACCATTGTTTACCCAAAGCAATCAATGCACACGAGCACCCGGCTCGAGAAAAATTGGACGGTCACAAGATCCGTACTATTCCAACAGTATACCTGCCAGGGAAGCAGTCCCCAGGCCGAGGGGCCTTTCTTCACGGGGTGTTTTGATAAATGATCCGGCAAGTCGGAATCAGCCATGTTTCCGGCTTGAATGAGTAATGAGTTCCCCCAAAGAATGGATCGGATATGGGCATTTAGCGTCCGTCTCGAAAAATAATTATCACGAATCTTCCTTTCGCGAAGATTTCCTTAGGAAGCGAAAACATATAGATCTCTATGAGCATTCCGGGAATGTCTGGCGATAGCTAGAGAATTTTGCTCACTCCAAGCGCCACGAGCTCGAAGCCCCCGAATCGGAATGATATCGACACTCGCCAATTTCCTCGCTGGTAGTGTCTCACAGAGTCGGTGTCATTCTCACGGCAGGCAGCGAAATGCGTCGCGGGAACCCGCAGGCGAAAAAAAGTTCCCAGAGCTGCCAACAGTTTGCCTCAGTTGGTGGAAGGGAAATCTGTTCGGGGTACTCGTCGTTTTGTGGCTCAATTAAGTACTCATTTCGGCAGACGATGAGTATGCCCTCGGGAGATGCCGGGAAGAGGCTTTCCTCCTCGTCCTAGGGCAAGTGGTCTGATTATCCATCGACTTCTATGGGGAGTCATCCTGTCTCCAGGTCACTCTCATAGAAGAGTAGAGATAGCTCGATGGCCAACGATAATGAATATCATACGCTGCGAAAGTTGTCGCGAGTCTGCGAATCTTGTCGAGTCGTGAGCGGGAATCAACACTCTTGTTGGAGAGCCCATGCTCGTTCGAGGGAGGGCAACAGCAAGTTGTTCGATCGAAAAAGCTTCGGAATTGTTCCTGCTGGGAATACACGAACAAATCTGAATGACCCCGCGGCTGATTTTGGCCGTCGCGTGGCGAAGTATCCCGCATGGCCGCAGAATAAATTCTGACGATCACCGTTCTCACTACGTATCAAATAGGTATCCAGGGACTCCTTCGAGACTCGCAAGAACGCTAGCGTTCAATACTGTCGGAGAGGGGAGGCGATGTATTTGACGGACTAACCTGGATTTGATACTCGGGCTTGAGACCCACGGCGCACATGAACGTTGAGCCGATCGTCTTGATTTTCTCGACGCAAATGAAGCGATCGTCGTCGAGCAGAAGGTCAAACTCGGCGATGATTTCGTTGAGCAGTCGTAAACACTCCATTCCCAGTCTGTTTCCGTCTAGTTCCATGTAGAAATCGGCGTAGTTCGGAATGGACGCAAACATCACTCCCGCGACCTTGTAATACTGATGGTAAAGCTCCTGTTCGAAAAATGCATTCCGTTTGAGACATGTCCACCTAAACCTCAGCGGCTACTCAGCGTTTCCTAGGCGCCGCGGCTTTCCGATGGTGGTCGGCACAGAGCCGCTCGAACTCTCCTCATCGGTGGTACTCACCATATTGCTTGGATTGTGATTTCTCAGAAAGTGTATGGCGACGTGCGATGGCAGCAAATTGAAAAGGATTCTTCTGTTCGATTCTTTGAGATTGTGCATTCCTTGTTTCTCGTCGTTGGCTTGCGCGTTCCAGAGAAAGTCCAATCGCTGTGATCGTTCGACCTTGAAATCCAACTCTGCGTGAGTATTTCGACTGTTCCATTCGCATTCGAACACTGCGGAGAGCACTCGGGCCCCGCGGAACGCGTCCGAGTCACATTGATGGAGTTCCAGCTTCAAACACCAAGAAGTCCTAGCTACGAGCGCGACTCTCCGAACTCACCTGTCGGGCTTGGAACAGAACGGCCAGCCAGGCAGTCACGATCGCCAAGACTCCGTCAATATTGAGGGGGACATTTGGACTGCGGAGAATATTGCATTTTTCTCAAAATCCATCGGAACGAGGTGGAGATAGTTTCCGAGGTTCCGACCTCCTCCGAAGCGGAAGTTTCCGCGTGGAGACGACTCGACCCGACTTCATGGCCCGGTCGAATATGGTTCGAATCTACTCACTGGGTTTGCTTATCATAGCATGTAAAGAGATCCCGTTGCGTCGTCTGCATCATCGACGCGAAAAGTACAGCCATGCTCGTCGTCAGGATTGCTTTGACAGGAAACGGCAGACGAACGAACACGCCGACACTCAACATGCAGAGCACAGCAGACAGGTAGATATATTGGGGTAAAGCACAAACCCTGTAATCGACCGAAGCCTCGTGTTATACTACCATATTGGCAACAGCAGCTGCTGCTCGCCCAAATATACACCCGTCAGCAGAGGTGCTCTCGGTGATCTCAAGGTCGAGTTGCACTGCTCTCCGCCGGACCTTAGTGCCGCGGGATCGGATCGCGGTTCGTTCGAAATTCTTGCTCGACTTCCAGATATCATGTCGTATAAGGATCAGGCGATGACGGAAGCTACAAACCTGTGTGGCTCACGCAGGATTGAGGTTCTCACTGTGGGCATATCCGTGACGTTCGAAGAAGTGGATCCGTTCGTGGTCCCTCCGTAGAGACTGCCACAGCTTTCCGTGTCAGCATAGCACGTCAGCTGAAAGGGGGTCGCCGCTCAGTACCTCGAAGGAACAATATAATTCACCGGAGTTTGCGTCCGATAACACAACGAGTTGCTCATGGATTATACTCCATCATAATACTGGGGAATATTCCACCACGAGAACTTGGTCCCGAAGCGTCAGACAGACGAGCGATCCACGGCAGGCTTCCGGAGCTCCCCGCCCCCGACACCCCCGAACTTTGATATCGAAGGACTCCGCCCCGCCCTCCTGGCCCCAGACAGTATCCTTGCATTGAGGGCTATGACGTCGTCATTTCGTCAAGGGTCCATTTGCATCCGGAACGTCCCATCGGTTTCGCGAGTCGAAGCGATCTGCATTCCACAGGCGCAGTATCCCATTGCGACAGACATCATTGGATACTCCAGCACGTTCCCCGATGAATCCGTATCGGTCGTAGAATCCCAACCCTCGGTGCGTATCTATACGTCGATATACATATACCTAGAGAGATAACTTCGTTTGGAAATCGGAACTCACAACGTTGAATTGGATCGTTCCGTAGATGAGCATGATGGCGACCACAGAAGCGAAAAGCCGGAAAATCGGTTTGAAAAATCCACATTTCAGGAGACCGAGGCGAGAAACAAATATCAAAATCAGGAGCAGGCTGATCCATGATATCGATACCACGGAGAAAATGAGGAGTAGCACTGTCCTGGAATCCAGAACATGAATCGATTGAGAAAACGTTCTGATCCGCCGCGTTTGTTCGTGTATTTTTTTTAAGTTCCCGTACATCATCTTCGAGCTCCAGAGCCTTCCTAGAGCGCAAAGCTACTCACCCGGGGAGTATGAGGAGATGTATGCAGGACAGGATAATTGAAATACACAACGCCACAACCAGACTGCTCACTAGACACGGGTCCCGGTCCCGCTGATACTGCAATACGAAGGCGCTGCTCAGTATCACATGGCTGTCTACGGGTTCGCTCAGGAAGAAAGGACGAAGAGAACGGGAAGTTCTTCGGAGTTCGCTATGAGCAGCTCAAGCCGTACTATCCGAGAGCGCTGCCCTGGGAAGTCTAGCAAGACAAAAGCTCACTTACACGTCGTTCCATTTCGAATTTGTCGAACCAGAGCGTGATGGGGTTGATGTGGTTCGATCCTTCATTCTCGTTGGAACGAGCATTCAAAGCTTGCGACAGGAATCTATTTATCCGACTCGTTGGCTGATTACTGAGCGATGAACCTCTGCGGAAGAGAGAATACGACGAACTTCAGCTTTCTCATGATTAGTACCCTCTCGGAGAGCATTAGAGATTTTTCTCCGCATGCGGTGACGTCGGATATCTGTCGGATATCTGAAGCGGCTCACCTTCTGAAGGCTTCGCGCAATCGAGTAATTTTATTCTGGAACATATGATCGACGCGGTTAGAAACGAACTCCTCCTTTCCCGATTGGGACATCTAGTAGGGCGACGCTCGACAAGAATGAGAAGTTTGACAGGGTGTTAGAGGGTTTCGAATAATGTCCGTAGGAGTGATCAATATCAGGGACGAATATTTTCCCGGAATTTCAATTTCGAAATCAATTAGGTATTCTGTGGTTGATATCTCTCCCTGAACTGGAGAGAAGAGAATATTGTCCCGATAGCTGACTGAAGTGCGTTTAGCTCACGATGTGATGAGCCACTCTTTCGGCGAAAGCAAAAACGGCTGTCAGTGCGTAGGATAGAGCGGAACATATCGCTGATGTGGCTCGACGCGAAAACCCTATCATATTCACGAAAAGATGAGGTTCTCAGGAATCGGTTATGCGAGTAATTCAAAAATTCCTCTAACCTTTTTCACTTTGGTTGTCCCTGGAAGGAGAGGATTCTGAGCGGTTTGACCCGCGTCGCTGTGATCGGACCGAGCGTGGAAGTCGGAGGCGCCGACATCTGCGAAGCTTTCCGGTTGGCGTCGAGCCAGCCCATTGACCACTTGCGCGAAACCGCCCTGCTGATCAATCTTAATTAGGATGAGTTCTAGAGTTTGGGATGAGAATGTATCATATATATTCATACTGATCCCCAAACTAAACCGGGGCGGCGAAACTTGCGGCACATCTGGGCCGGCACGAATGGCCCGCAGAAGTCCACTCAATCGTCATACATATTCCTATATATCAACGTATATAATTTTCCCGCGCAAAAACTCCTGATATTGGGCTCGTTGGAAGCGGAGAAACAAGAACGCGGTCGCGAATGAGCAATTTCCCCAAGTCTGACCCTGATGACCCCCTCTCGAATAGACGTAAATCACATTTCTTTTCGTAGCTTCCTACTTTAATCTTTCAGCCAGATCGAGAATCCGTGTGAATGCAGAATACTAATTTTGCGGGGAATGATTAGCAGGGATATTCCTCGAGCACCACAGACTGCAGAACATGACCGATCCTCCTCGGGACATCACAGCCGCAAACGGAACATGCAATTTCGGAGAGCCGAAAATCACTTCATTCTCGATGCGATGAGCAGCACGAGCAGGCTGTTCATTTGAATGATGGAAGGGCACAGATAACGTCGACGGGCGCGCGCGGAGAGCTCGGCGTTCTTCAATCTCTGCCACTGGGACGCCGATAACAGGCCTCCAAGCGGGAGCACTGTTGCCTGTGATCGCAGCAGAACACGCTTTCCACCTCGAGTCCTCGCATTGTCGTCTAAGAACGAGCCGATTTGAGCTGGAGAAAGTTCGCTCAGAACCTAGGTCTTACCTGTCGCGCAGTTTGCGGAGTCCTTGATTCCCGAGTCGTTGGTCCGTTCAGGTTCGAGAAAGGAACATCCATACTAAACCGAATAGTGTGAAGAAGCTTCACCACGACGTTTGAAACGTTCTTGAATGATAGCTTCTTCGCTCCACGGTGTTTCTGAAAATAAGGAACAGCTCATTGATCGTAAGCGGTTCCGAATGCTATCAGTCTACAAGCATGTCGAGCATATGAATTACTCATTCATATGCTCGCCGGTCGGTCGAAGCTCCCCCGTTGCACCCCTGGGTGCCCATCGCAGTATTTCGCAATCGATATGGGACTAGGGTGAAATAAGGGAAGATCTCCCCACAGCCAGAGAACTTGGAGAGGAATCCCGAGTCTCAAGCAGCGAGAGTGTTTCCGTTTGAGGGTCGGGCTCTGTCGGGGGGCAGACAACGAGCTTCAGTTAACTATGAGTAGGGCTCGACTTTCGTCGCGGCTTCTCAGCTGGAAGTTCGCGCTATTCACAGGTCCCCATCGACATTCTATGGGGGAAAGCCCCGCAATGCAACGAAAAATCGCGGTCACGAACTCGGGCCGCGACGGGAGTCGAGCCCGAACTATGAGCCTTTGAGGTTTCGACTGGCGGGCATCACGGATCACAGCCCGGCCTCGAGTCGATCGATAAACTATATGCCACTCGTATTAAATCGAATTTCTCATGAGAACATCCACGGCAGCTGCCAGGGTGTATTGTTCCGGATTTCCAAATAGTCTCTCTACGCGGAGGATTGCTTGGCTTCGCGGAGCAGATGCGACAGGGACCGGGCCGAAATGGTTCCGAGGTGCCCTAATATCGTTTCTCTACCGTTCCTACCGTTCCTACCATGACAATCTCGTTTCTGTGCGAATTCCTCTGCATGCTATTTGGGAATGCATGAGCTTACCTCCCCCTACCGAGTGCTCCTTCCGTTTGCAAACAAAACAGCACTGTGTACCTACAGATTCTTCGGCGCCGCGCCGTCACCGCTAGGGAGTCAACAAGTCGGTCCCTACGCCGTCGCCGAGTCCAGCGGCGGTAGGGCAGATTCGGAGCCAAGCTCTCGCGGGAACCGATTCATAACTCTCTCGAGCGAATCCCCCGGCATACTGAATGTCGCGCACGGATGCTTTCCCGCATCGTCGCCAACAACCGTTCTATCGAATTTGAGCATTCCTTCGAGCCGCTTCTCCCGCAATTACGCCGAAGTCAATTATGTTGGCACGGATGACATTCGGTGTGACGACGAGCAGCAGTCGACTCTCCGACCGAAGTCTCCAATAGCGTTCTATTTAGAGAATCTCTACAGAAGAACCGCCAGAACTCATGGAAGTCAAGCTCGCTGGGAGCAATAGGAACCATGAAGATCCGAGACACGGCGGATCAGTACGATTCTGACTGCACATACGTGTATACGTTCGCATGAGATTTTTCGCTGTCTCGAATGACTTTGGCGAATGGTGTCCGACAGAGGTCAAACGGAGGAAGTGAGATTCTGAGACTCTAACCAGACAATGCGGGATAGTTTCGATGTCCGAAGGCTTTACTCCTGCTCTCGCCGATAGCAGCCAAAAGACCTCGACGCTCACAAAAGGCTGGGAGCCTCATATTCTTGGGCGAACACGTTAGGCCACATGAACTGAAAGCATCCCAACCGATCACTTACCTGTAATTGACTGAATATGTCTTTTTTGGCACGATGCGGAGGCGGGATGATGAAAAAAGTTTTCACCCCATGATCTCGCAGATAAGCACTTCGATCTTCGCCTCTACCTGGTTCAACTTGGAATTCATCGGCCAGGCACGTGAGGGTCTCTGACGTGATATGCACCCGACTGCAATAGGAGAGAAGAAGGTTTTTCACGTCAGAATATTCCTTTCGCTTTACCGCGTTCTCTATTAGAGATAAGGACCGTGGCCCGTCTCCCCGTCATGATGAACGACGCAAGATAGGCTCGCACATTAAGTCCTCAGAGATCAAAGGAAAAACTCGCGAAGAATGGTGCGAGACCGCAGATAGAGTCTGCCAAGCAAGATCGAAGGGGAGAGGGCGGTCACGATCAGAGAGAGCGGGAGCAAAAAAAACTATCCTCGAGATTGGAATCGAAGAGGTCTGGAGATTCATGGTCGCAGAATTCGATGTTCTCCCAGAGGGGGAGGGGGCGAGAGAACTCAGTTTTTCCACGGGAGAACTTACCCTGGAACTCCCCCGGCTTCCATGTGGTTGGCAAGCGTCACGTCGTTCGACCAAACGTCGTATTGCCATTTTCGTAAACCTAACACGCCGCACATGACGCGCCCCGTGTGAATACCTACTCTCATGTTGAGCTCACATCCTGACGCCTCGACCGTCAGATCGGATACCTTGAAGAAAATCGGAGAATGTTTATGACACTTCCGGCTCACCCGCGCACTTTCCGAACCGGAGAGAGGATTTGCCGCAGTTCGGAGCAGGATCGACATTCCCTGAAAGCCAGAACCGAGGGACGAGTCTATCCACTCCTCTGGGAGAAGCTCTCCACTTCAAAGAGAGGTCAGTGACCACCTCTCATGCCGCAGAAATCCGCGGGGAGAGGAGGTCCACGGGACGAGGAGCCTCCCCCTAGAACGCTGAGCTCATTTATTCTGCTAAGGAATCCCAGACTTTGGGGACTAGCGGTGGAAACGGGCAATATCTTACCTTTTTTATAGCGTCGACCATGTCGAGACCCATATTCACAGCGCATTGCGCATGGTCGGATCTTTCAGGGAGGCCGGAAACGCAATAATAGCAATCGCCGAGAATTTTTATCCGCAAACAATGATTCACCTGCGAGCAAGGAAGAAGTACGTAAGGATTAGGTCCTGCATATACCTTTCATCGCTGAGCAAAACGCTCCCGAAAGCAAAAACGGAAGAGCGGGCTCCCTTCATTCCGCGCGGATTCCCTCGATATCTATCTCCCTTGAGCATCCATGACGCTCGATGGAGATTTCCTCTGATTTTTTTTTCTTATTAGTGTTGAGTACCTCCATCTCTTCAGAGTCAGCGAGAAAAGAACCGATAAGAGCGCTTCTGAGAGGTCATCGACGAGCGAGCATTAGTCTCACAGAAGAGCCGTCCCGGACGCCCACGAGGAAGGAACAAGCCGGGAAGTTTCCAAGGAATCGGAACAGCTCTGGAACGACCCAGTGCTCTCGGTGCGGATGGCACAATTGAAGTGAGCTGGAAACTTCATGCTTAGCGCAGCGTTGGGCGGTATCGCGAATTATGCAAACGATAAATGGGCTCGACTGCATCGGGGTCGACCCGAATAACTTTTCTCTTCTCTATTCGGAGGCATTGATAGAGGAAGCGAGCTCCGACCGGAAGGAGACCCGACCAACGCATGCGGCCCCAAATGCGACCTCTGGCGCTTCCGCTTCAGTCCGGCCTTCGGCGAACACTTACATTTGCCAACTGATCAAATCGCCCGAAAAGTTCGTTCAGCAGTTGGACGAGCTCCTGAGCTGAGAGTTGCGATGCCAGCACAGTGAACCCGACGATGTCAGCGAAGAGAATCGAAACGTCTTCATGCTGCTGGATGTAGATCTTGTGGAACTGTCCTGGAACCGTGGGATTGACGAGCTCCGCTTTCATCTCCAACGCAACGTGCTGCGGCAAACACGACAACAGGATACGTTCCTGTAAAGAATCAACAATTCAGTGAGAGCCTATAAATTCCGATGCAAACTCACGCGTCCACACTGACATGCGCGATGCCGCTCGGAAGCGATGATACAGGGCGAGTGAAGTCGCGGGTTCCCAGATGCGCTCGCGCGACGTCAAACACTAAGGATTTCGACGCGGTTTTCTTACACGCTCGAATTTGGGGGCGAACGAGAGTTAGGAGGGTTCGAAGATTTGGAGCACGATTTCGGAGAGTGTTCGAAAACTTGAAGGAACATGCAAGACACGTCCGCCGGAGAGAGGGCTCAGGGCTTTCTGTTGCTCCGTTGACATTCCGTGCAAGTATAGTTCACTTCTCGAAAAAACCGATGCTTCGAAATGCATTCTGGATTAGGTTCTTCCATCCCGGGATTTTATGAAACCCTCAAAGACGCCATTCATCCGATGGGGGTGCTCGAGACGAACGGGAATCCCAAACGACGTGAGATTTCCGGTGAACTATGATCTGCCATCTGACCGCGGCTCCTCCGACGGGATCAGCGAGAGATACTCAAGCGAGGTTTCAGGACCCTACTTCCACCAAGAAAAAAACGCAATGGACGCGAAGAATTTTCGATGATGGAGGCAGACTCCATCGGCTCTATCAATCGAGGCACAACGTATGCCAGAAACCCGCGACGTTTTCTCTCGCGATCATAAATGCACGAGCGCTCTCCCTAAAACCGCCGAGAGGTCTGAGCGTAACCGATCAGCACCGAAGGCATGGAACGCCTCGCCTTCCGAGCATATCAGACGCGAGGAAGGGTCGACTCTGGAAACGAGCGGTAGGTACATGTGGTATGCGTCGGCGGGCAGCGAAGAAACACGCACGAGGCAACTAACAGCTGTCAATCGATGAGACGAGTCATAAATTGAGAATTAGGTCCACCATTCCAGAGACACGAGTTTCGCGTGCCGCTGTGATGAGCAAGTCGAACTGAACAGAGATTGCCAAAGGTCATCTTCGGGCTCTTCGGATGTTTCTTGCAATAAAAGTCGAACGTTGACGGTATTCGGTGCGCTCTCGAGCTCCGCAAGAAATGGACTCCTCAGTCAGTGATCGTTCATCCTGTACCGTGCGACGATGCTTTATCTCACTCGGTATACTCACGATTCGTTCGTTTTCATCTTCCATATCGAGTCGGGCCTGCACGCAGTTTCGAGTGTCCATGAACGACTTCCTTTGAGCTTTTTCCCGCATTCCTTGGATGACCATACCAATTATGTTGATGCATATCAAGATGAGAGCATTTGACACCAGCTGGAAAGGAGAATTCTCTTAGAAATTGCTGATCCTTAAAATTTCTTCGAGATCCCGCGTCGTCCGCCGGGAAGACCGAGATGATCGTCATCAGTTCCGAGACTTCCACTCCTCGATACGAGTTTTGGCCGGGAACCTCGATGTTCGGGGCTCTGCTAGGAGAGAGATGGGGATGATATCGATCATTGGGGCGTTACCGAATCCGTTCCCCGAAAATATTGCGCTGCGGCATCACGTTGTATTTGAAGCCCGGACGACGGACCGGAGGCAACTACAGCGACAGCAGCAAGAAACGAGCTCAAATCACTGATTGATGTTATCAGGCTCGCGCTCTGTAATGCATTCCCATCAATCTTCCATCTTCCCTCGCTCATGTGTCTCTTTGCTTGTGCTCTATGCTCACTCCCCTGATTGACAGCCTCGTTACGCGGCCTCTCGGAGATCAATTCAGGTGAACGTATCGGGAGCTCTGAACAGAAACGACGCCGGCCTTGCGAAGGAGGACCGGTAGGGATAACAACAACCGTAGAACCCAAAGAGTTGCCGTGCCATGAAAGAGGCAAGGGATTTTCAGTTCTGTTCCCTCTCAGAAAACGATTTGTCAAGCGCTCTGCTTCACAGGCTCTAATAGAGTTCTTCGCTGACTCATCTGTTTCACGGAGCGGAAAGAAAGAAACAACTCAACGATACAAAAAGCTCGGCTAGGTCCATCCCCGTCCCCTTGGCTCGCAGGTCTCGCCAACACACATTCCGAGTGGCAGATCCCGCGCGAGGTTCGCGAGACATTACTGATACGTTGCGCCTGCCTAAAAACTCCACTTTTCTTCAAAATTAATATTTCCTTCGGCGGTGAGAGTTAGAGGTCAGAATAGGTCTCCCCTCAGGATTAGATCCTGATGGAGCGCCCCGAATTTAGATTCGACAGTCCGTCCAGAATCGTCTATAAATACACACATTCACATACGGACCTCAGTGAACTCTTTCGTCTCTAGGATCTCTCATCAAGCCTGCTGTTCCGTTGCCCACTCCCGCACTCTCCCATCCGGATTCGATTCAATTTCTCACCGTCGGCGTCGTTCACTTCAAGAACCCATGGGCTGCTCATCGCTGCGCGTGCGAATTATTGTTGAAGGGACGGGTGTTGCGTCACGGCGCTCAATTTATCGATCAACCATAGCGCGCAAGCGTACTCCGCCGCACCCAGAGAGTCAAGACGTGTCGTCCTTGTTCCTATCCTCGACAGCCCGTCTCGTTTCCGGCTTGAGCCTCGACGAGTTCGCCAAGTCATTCCAGCGCACGATCAGGAGTGAGCCTCGAACAAAGCTCGCCGCATGATGGGATCTCATTTCCTTAGCACCGGCCCTAAAGGGTATGGATTCCGTGGTTCATTCTAAATCCACGCGACCCCCGTGCGATGACCGTCACTTTCGGAAGGTACCTGTTGGAGTGAACATAAGAGGAAGGTTCATATTTCCGACCTCCCAAGATCTCTCCCCTCCAACGGTTGGATTCAGTAGCGGGTGTAGGTTTTCACACCTTTAATAGAAGGTGGACCATTCTGAAGCGAGACTCATATGGGAATTTCGGGACGCAGGACAAGAGAAGAAAGGCGAAGAGAATGCCCTCCGCCCCTCCGCAGACTCATCTGCGACGCAAACACGACCAAAAGACTGAGAGCTGGTCGGCTGGCTGAGGACCCTCTGGACTTAAGCGAAGCCAGCACGCCAAGAGCTACTTCCTGGAGGAAAGAAACCCCCTATTCGCCAACGGGTTCACGAACCATCTAGCCCGAGCCGCAGACAGGGGAATGCATTGAGACTCGAAGTGCCAAGCCTTCACTCGAAGGTAGTGGAGGGCGCGATCGGGTTCACGGGCAAAGACACACTGCTCCTGGAGATTGACGATAACAACTAATAACAATAGAATGAATCCCAAGGAATCATTCACCTTGAACAACTTTGTTTCGCGTCATAATCGGACTGTTTCGATCGAATGCCCCGAAGTTGAGCGATTCTCATTGAGCGTGATGATTTTCTCCCGATCATAGGCATCGCGTGGTCGGCTCCGGGCAGTAGCTGTCAGCGATTTCCGTTGACATGGTAGCAAGAAGAAATCACGAAAAAGTAAGCCAAACGCCAACGAGCCCGAGCCCCCGAATCTGGGTGGGCATGGCGATTCGAGACTATCAGTTTGGTCTGACCGGAGATCGCTCTTGGCGCGGATCTCAGATGCGGAGCAGCTTCGAGAATGTTCTCCGTTTGGGCATAAATCGAATTCGCCAAAGAGCCTGGAACGACCACATCGGTCCGTCCAAGAGCTCCATACGCGAGCCGAAACGATTATCGCGGGAGCCTTCACTCAATTGCTGGAAATCACCCGACAGATGGGATCGTTCAGCTTAGAGCTTCGGTCCGGACTGGCAGCCTCGGAGCATGAGTCAGGCGGCGAAGCACTCTACCCAGAATCAAGAATCATGGAAAGATCTCACTCAGGTCGACGGTTCGATCCCAACCCATAGGATCGGTTACAAATGTTCCCCCCCACCAAAGTTTCTCTAGTTTCGGACACGCTTCACGGGAGACGTTAGCCGGGTCGACCCACGGTCTTGAAAATCGGGAGCCCAGTTTCTGGAGAGGAATCGTCATCGGAATCACAGATTCGCATCGTGGGATCATCCATGTCCCAACGTTATCAGCACGGACTCGGGCCCGTGCAGTTCCTGATTCCTATACACACACAGACCATCAGGGCCGAGGACGAATTCTGAGTGTTTGACTAGGATGGATCGCAGATAAAAGGGAAAACTCCTCCAAAGGTTTGGAAGCAAACTCCTGACATGATCCCGATAGAATTTCGTCAAGAATATGGTCTTTCTCCTCGCGTGGAAACGGGATCTCCCCAGAAGCATTTCACGTAGTCGATTCGACGATGTGACGAAGGACGTGCCGCAGACTCCCATCGAATCAGACGGCGGACTTCTTTTATGTCTTCTCCCTATCTGTCTTCGTTTTCCTTGTTCCGTTTCATTGTTTCTAGCTAAACACTCCGGCTATGTTGAATGCGACAGATTCCTCTCCAGATTCATAAGTCAAGCAGACGAGTGTTCGGCAAGAGGCTTCCTCCTCCGAGAATCTCAGCAGCCGTCGCGTCTCGTTGGCGCCTCTAGTGCGCCACTACCTAACTAGCCTTCAGAAGCTTCTCGGTCTGGTATAACTTTCAGCGTATTCTGGTCGAGTCCGTCGGGTCGCCTAAGACGGTGATTTCATCCGATGCTCCGTGTTTCTACAGAAGTAGAATAGAGTCCATGAACATGGGCATGGAGCTGATATTTGGCGCGGGGAGAAATCGAGAGAAGGATTGCGGGAATAGATCCTGAATTATTTGTGAGAGATCCTCGGCCCTCGATTCCTCTCTTCGATAGAAGCTCCAATTCAGATGGAAATTCACGGCACGTGCTGCGGGAGGCGAGGACACCGGAAGTAGGATGCCCGTCTGACAATGAGTTTGCCGTCATTGGATGTCGTGAAAACGATCACGAATTCGCTCCGTCTATCAACAGCGACGACATAAAAATGATGGCGGATGCGGCTTCGGATGTCTGACCGGTCAAGGTCAGGACGACATTTTGAGACATTGCCATTCCTTAGTGCGGTATTCCGTGGATTCCACTGGCGTATGATGGGAATCGATACTCTGGTTGATGGCGATACAAGGACATCGATGCAAAGTTGTGTAGGCCGAAGCTTCCCGACCTTTCAAACTAGGCTCTCCCGCGATATAGAGCCCTACAGAGCCCACCATGTCAACTGGTTTGATGTCTCGCCATTATACCCTCCCGGCTGTAGTGAGCAAAGCTACCGGAGTCTCCCATTCGAGCTCGGGAACAATCAATACTTCCGCGGGGAGTCATCGGGGAATAGAAACTTATGCGGACCCTGGCCTCGGACACTACATAGCTGGGGAACTCTCCCGCCTCTCGTTCTCTCGTTCTTTCTAATTCCCTGGTTTGCCTACAGGGATGAATCTTCCATGCCGAGACGACAAAAAAGTTCTCGGGACTGATGTCACGTCAGGACGACTGAAAAATCAGACCAGAATGAGTTTGTCCGTTTTTGAGGTTTCTCGGCTGAGCCTTTGCGCGAGCCTTAGAACACACCCTGAAAGAATTCTGAGGGGCATCCTCCCACGAGATTCGTCCGACCGGAAGTTTCTACGCGGAGGTCCGAGACGGAGCCCGTAGTGCTCACTGAACTTTCCTCCGCATGCTCCATCTTTTCCACCACTACGCAAGGGCCGCGCGACACACATATGGTCCGCGGGAGTTTTCGCCCCTCCACAGGCCCCGATCAAACGTACGTCTCTATAGTCGGGTCAAGGAGAGGGAACACCACTTTATCACGATGAATTGTCTCCTGAGCGACTCCGAGCTATTGGACGCTGGTTATCATTGTCCCTGCCATGGTGTCTGGCACACGGCTGGATGAGAGTGAAAATTCGCATCTTGAGCTTGTCCTAGATTTTGAACACTTGATGAGTTCCGATTATTCCTGAAACGCATGTCGTCGCCCTGAAGACGGAGGGCGTGACTGATGACGTTCTTCCCTCCAGAGTCGTCAATTTTTAGTTAGTTTTTCTCACGCATGACCAGCTGACGAGGGTGCTCTTTCTCTGCCCGCGAAATCAATCGCTTCGCACAATCTGTCCCAGACTCCTGTCGGAGGACGATCCCAGGAGCAACCCGATATCCGGGGCCCGCGTTCCCCGAGCAGATTGCAAATCCATTGTGAGCAAACATGCAGCCTCGTGGAGGGAGTCGTTCCCGAATCGCTCGACGCACTCATCTTCAAGCGATATGTTGCTCAGGTGCTCCCCCCTCGAGTCGAGAGCCTGAATCAAAGTTTTTGTGTTGGTAACACACTCGAGAGTCTCTTCCGAAATGCCACGTTCCAAGTGACGCCTTTCTCCGAGGTGAGGGTTCGGAGCGAAAAGCGCGCTGTGTCTACGGAGCGTCTAGCGCGCCAAACTCTCGACCATCTCGTCGAGATCTTCCGAGGCATAAGTCCGACCTGGGCTCTCTGCAGATGATGGAATCCCCCTTGGTCGAGCGGAAAGGCTCCGACCAGGGTTCCGGGACCTAAGGCGGATTTGAACAACAACATCGGGCATGAATCGGAAGGTTCCCACTCGCACGAATGTCCCAAAAGGACCGGGCACGATAATAATAATTGTGTTCGGGATGAAAGATTCTCCGCTCGAAGAGAAGCGGGGGCTCTTGGTCCCGAGCGCCGCAAAGTCACGCTCCATTCCGAGACCCTCGCGGCTCGTACACCGGAAAATCGTGCTCATATTCAGATCAATATAGCTCGAGTCCGCTATCTACCGGGATCGGTCCTCGACTTCATTAAGATGGCGGAAAATCGCTTCTTCGTTTCAAAATCCCAAATATGCTCCTGATTGTCAGAGGTTATGGGTAGGAGCGAGACGATCGGATTATCGACCAATTCGAGAGAGCTGCCCGCACCGCTTTTATCGCATCACAGGGACCTTGTTCAACAATGTCTCGGCTTTAATCGATAGCTCAATGTAACACCGATTCGGTAAAAATCGGTTCTCGCCTAGTGTATTGCGGGAATGAATGTCTACATGAATGAGTGTATGATGAGTTTCCTGATTCGAGGCATTTAAGTATGCATGGCGACTCCGAGCATCGTGATCGCCCGAGCGTCTGGGGCGCAGCAGTGCTTCAGTCTGCACCAGGAGCGGAGGTATTCATCGCCATCGGATTATCATCATCGTTCTCAGAACAGGCTGATCGACAAAAAACTTATTCAAGTATAGGCGCTTGGATTGATGGGGAACTAAAAACCCGACCATCCCCATCCTATATGACCTCCTTGAGGTCATTAGGGCCTAGGCGTATCAATCAGGGTCCTGTCTACGAGCAAGCCGTTCGAGATTGTGCCAGCCGTTGACCCGTTCGTCCTTTTCCCTGAAGCACCCGCGGCAACCCAACCGACTCTGCCGGAGACCAGTGCAAGGACGAGCTGTCTCAACCGCGGGCAGGGAGCCTCTGAGCTATTCTGGTTCTAGGGATTGTGAGGTATGAGCAATGAGTAATGATTCCAGAAAAACATTCCCCTCTCGACTTCAGGTGGCCTGTCTGTGGCGTTCGAGCCCTTTGGCGCCGTGAACTGTCTCAACGAGGAGCAAGCGGCCAGTGCGGTGGCTCCCCCGACGCTCTCAGATCGGACCATGCAGACTTCGACCCAGCGACTCGGGCAGGCGATTCATGCAGCCTTGGAAGTGCGAATGACGAGTCACTCGAAACGGTAGCGTTCTGGTGATCTGAAGCAAACCTCGTCACTTGTTCATTGTATTGCTGTCAAGCTCACGTCCTGGGTGACTTTCCCGCGGCGGAACCAAATACATTACCTCCTTGGATGAATCGCGTCAAGCAAATGAAGAGGAGCCTTGCCTTGGACGCAATGAGAAAAAGAGCATTTCCGTCAGGAATAAATTTCCCGCTTGGCTGATGATTGCGGACAGTACAATTAACCGCTTTTAATGCGTCAGCTGCATGTTGTGCCAGCAGGAAAAGCGGATGATCACAGGCTAGTGAGCGAGCGGAGGATGAAGAAAGCAGCGGGGTAAGCAAAACCTTATTTTTGCAAACAAGGCGGTTTCGTATACCCGACGAATCTGGGCGTTCGAGGCACTCAAGCTCAATGCTCGAAGCCCGATGGAAATCACGGGGCAGAGATAGAACTCTGCGTAATCGCTCCGAGTTGCTCTCTATAGTCCGTTAGTACATACAGGAAATTCCCCATCCCCCATTATCTGGGTCTCGAATCCTCGGAAAAATGTCCAAGTTCCGAGTGATACAGGGGCTTCGAAGTTCGGGGGAGCATCGACATCATGCCTACGACGAAACTAACGCTCAAATCTCATTCGAGAGTCGAGTTATCGGACCTAGTATTACGGGAAGTCAACTAGGTGGCGAGTCCCGCCTCACTGTCTCGCGCAAGTCATAACGAGGCTTATTGAGGAGCTCCTTGAAGCCTCGGCGAAGAACCTGTCTCGGGCATAGCGTATTCTCGGACGCCCCGACTTCAACAAGAAGTCCCGCGGAAAGCAGAGGTGTCTCGAGTGTCTATATACATACAGACATCTCGTTGGTGACGAAAGGAGAAAGCCCTTACGGAGTGTTTGTACAAAGTTTTTTTTAATGAATGTGTTCCCACTCTCGCAAGAGCCATACTCTTCCGTCATCGCTGCGATGAGGTGAACTCTTGAGAGACAAGCCACAGGCGTTCAACCGCGTGTATTTCGGCATGCGGATCTCCCACAGAGGCTATTGAAGACTAACTGGATTATTTCTCTTCAAACGGAAAACATTTCCCTCGCAATAAACAAGCGCGGCTTCCGCTGGACGCTGCCTCACCGGTGCTCGAGCTCGAATCTCTGTACTCACGAACGAGAATAATCGCATTTCCCAGGACCAGTGGCTGCCCTTCCCCCAGGCGTTCTTCGCGGCTGGCAACGACTTGGACGAGGTCTTGTCGCACTCGATGAGATAATAATTGCTTTCACTGAACGTAATGACGCAACCGACGGGTAATCGGTCCGCTCAATAAGAAAGCGGGAATATGTCTGTAGTTTTTTCCCCAAAGCGGGAATATTCTTGCAGTCGAGCTAATCAGAGAAGAGAATGATCGCGCTTCCTTTTAGGGGGAATTCGGATCGATTCTCGCGAGGCGCAGACGGAATGCTTGCCAGAGTCCCGCACGGAAGCGTAGGTACGTGTCTCGCTCGCCCGACCCATTTTTCAATGCTGTCTAGACAGATATGATGTATCCCAAAAATAGTGGACTGTCCGAGGCTATATTTCTGGCAGTATGTACAGAAGCGAGCCTATACACACTAAGTCATTCTCTATCGGCAACAGATACTGGCGGCAACAAAGCATGAACCCAGAGAAAACGGCAGGGAAGACGCAACGTTAGACAGAGAGCCTTGATGAGTCTTAGATATACGGCGTGATTTCTTTCGGTCAACATATGTCCAGAGACGGGGCCTGTCACGTCCGCGTATCGTGTATGAGCTACAGTCGCTGGTCTTTGACTTTGCTTCCGATAACGCTTTCTCCGTCTGCCCCCAGCATGATGTCACCCGATTATGAATGAGCGCGCGGGCCTCATCGGACTCGAGGAGCCTCCTCATGAATTCTGAGCGATTTTCTTCATCCAAAGTTCCATGGTGTATTCCTCCCCAATAATTCCGATTCGACTCCTCTCAATCTTATTTCTATCGATTTTACTCCTCGTCCTCATGCAACTAACCTGTTTCACGAGAAGATCTGTCCGAACAGTGGTTGTGTGTAGGGCGACGGCGAGATGTATTAGGGCGAACGAAATGCCGACGGTCAAGATAAGGAACACTTGGGACGGCATCAGACTGAAGCACATGTAAAGCACCAGAGCGATTTCCCAGATTCCGTCGGCGGCCGAAAATTGTGGGCTCTGAAGGCTAGCTGATGAATTGTACAGGGGGATGTGGAGAAACCCGAGCGGAAGAGAGTTCGAAACGAAAAGAAACGCAACTGCCATAAACATCAGACACGCGGTTCCAAACAGCTCCACGGTCATGTATTTGGTCGATTGGAATGCGAGCACTGGCAGGAGCACAATCGACAGGACCCAGTTGATCAAGGCGTACCAGCTCATCGAGGAGCCGTAGATCGCATGCGTCGCTGCCATGGACGTTAACATGAACTCCAGGACGAACAATGCCGACCCCAAATTGCTCTTCAACACATCCCCCCGGTATCGGGCGAATAGTCCTTCGAACTCTTCATCCGGATAGTTTTGGTATTTGAAGAGGCAAGCACTCATCAGCTTCGCCAGAGCTTCGGCCCGACGCTTGACTTGGCTGAACGGCGAGTCCCGGCCAGTGTCGCTGACCTTGAAGGACGCGTCGTGTTCGGGTCGTGGTTCGCCCATTCCGGCGGCGTATGTCGGCCGATTTTCGCCCATCCGACGAAGGATAGGGTTATCCACCTGCAATCGAAAAAGAAATTATGAATTACACGCTCACATCAATCGGAGGGTCTCCGCTCCAATAGTCGATTGGAGCCCTGAGACAGGACTTGTCGACGGATCCCGCTCTTCTCGCGAAAGAATAAACTATTTTCGGAGCTGCAGACGGTCGTTCTTTCGAAGTCTCGATTCGATCTGGAGTCGATTGCGCTCGACTTCCGACAGAATCCAAGAATCTGTCGATATGTTTCCTCGCCGTGACAGCGTAGAACCTCGTCGGGTTTTCTTGTACAGGACTCGAAGCGGATTCAATTCCAATGTGAAGGCAACTCATTCCATCCTTCGGATTCCAGAGATTGTATTCCATCTCTGGGAGACGACCACGAGAATTTTCTCCGTAGACGTCGCGGAATCTCGACCGCGGGTTTCCGATCGCCTTTTATTTCGGAAGCAAAACGCTCCTTTTGATCCATTTTCGCGCGTTCTGCGAAATTGAATTTTAGGGATGGGAACAACCGGCAGCCGATCCTCATTGTTGGATCGACCGACTGAGAATCGCTCGAGGAGGACACCTAATCTAGATTGGAAACGTACTGCTTGTTCCGAGTCGAACGTCGAAAGCGACGCCCTTGGAGAGACGGCGTTGAGGACGAAAGCACATGCGGAGCAAGTGGAGCTGGAGGAGGACGCCATCGGAGAGAACCTACTATTAATACCGAGACGACTAAAATAGAAACCATCCGAAGCATACGCCACCGATTGGCATTGATATGGGTATTGAGACTGCCGAGCCTTTAACTACACGCCCAGCGCTCGTCCGTTGCGAAACTCTTGCATGAAACATTGAAAAGAACCGTATCGTGCCTCCGCGGAGCCACTCGCTGCAGGAGATAAAGACCGCCGGCGTACTTTACGCATGACACCCGGGAGGAATACCCCGTGCGTGGGAGTCACGTTGAGGATAAGATACGACTTTCAGAGACTTCTCGGGAGCAGGCTGGGCGCGGTTTTGGCGTTCGCAGAAGGAGAGATTTTGTTACCGGCAGCGACGTTGACCCTGTAGTCTCCGAGGCTTGCTGTAAAAAAGAGCTCGAAGTCGCAGCCATGGCTCGGCCTCCACAGCTCATAACACGTTTCAGACTCGACATCAGGCTGCCGTACGAGAAGACTGCTGGACGAGCTCCTATCCGATGGGTGGCCGTTCTGTGAGAGAGTGGCGCCTACCTCGGGGTCGGTGCACAAGATTCCCGCGCTGACTCCTAAACACGTAGGGCCCTGCCTGTATCCGCGCACCACAAACCTATCTTCGGGGATCTAAGCCGTTTCGAATCGCTGAGCACATGCATGTGCTCGACCAGATCGGAAGAGAGCGACTCGCCCGACGACGAGCAAACATGGTTATTGCAGACAACTATTTTTGAGCTAATTACCAACTTTTGAGGATCCGTCGCCAGAAACGGGAAGCAGCGCATTCCCTGGCAGGACGCCCATGAGTTCGTGTTCCCGCCGCGAACGACACGAGAGTTTCCCTTCCTCTTCAGCGTTGATCGGTCCCCGCAAACGAAACTCCGTACAGCACTTGGGCGCTCCTGAATTCTGGCAACGGGAGATGACCCGTTGGGATGGTGCACGTGAATTGCTGCGCTTATTTGACTTGCATTAGGCGTTGTATTCCGCTCGAGCGGTCAAGGGCTCGCTCAGAAGTCCATTGGAGAGGTTTTGATCTCGTCCCGGATTCTACGTCCGTCCAGCCAGAAGGTAGGGACACAGGCTCGGGTCATCGATCCCGATCTCTTGCCATCGAGGACTCATTCTGTTCAGAGATTGTGTAGGCCTTCCCGGCAAGAACTCTTCGATCTATATCCTATAGTTACTGATGGAGGCACGAAGCTCATCACTGAGAGGATGTACTGGATGTGTTGCCCGTGTCAAAATCACTTGTGCGTCGCGGTAGTCCAAGACACGGAGAACTCGTTTCTTTTGGCTGACAGAAGGAGGAACGATTGATCGGCGTTCGGTTTGGAAGTTCTATTAACATAGTGACAGATGCGACCTCGCCCAAGGTCGTCTGCAGTAGTGCATCGCTAACGAGTCGCCTCTACTCCATGCCAAACCGGCATCAACGTCGTTCTTTGCTTGCCTGTTGCGGAATGTCGCGGTGATGAGGCCCGGGAGGAACTCCGCGGAGGCCCCTCGTTGATGACGTGGCGTCGCTTCCACCGGGAAACCGATCCAACTTTGGTCTGAGAGTCTGCCTGGGAGCCCTGCGCACGTAGGGCATGAGAACGTCCCCCGCTCTGATAATTGTCGACCCCCGCTGAGTCTAGCTTCGAGGGACGGCTCTCGAGCAACAAAGGAAAATTTGCGGTCATGCTGTTTTTATGCGTGGAATTATACGACTACCGTTCTAGTTCCGACCGCAGAATCCGAAAGCCTCAGACCCCGCCGCAGTCCGTGCGCGCATCGAGATTTCGATGTGGATTGGACCTTGTGAGCTTAGGCTACGGACAAAGGGCTCTCAATCAAACACCTCTGATTCAGCATCGGATCGAGAGACGTTCGTCATGATCCGAACGGTGTTCCGGCAGACCGTCACACAGGCCCCGTATGGAAGAGGTCGGCATTGCAGGGTATGCCCGCGAGATTTTCCAGAGGTGAGCTGGTCCGAGCCCCCGTGCGGGAAATCGATATCCCGAAATTACGACCGTGGACCTGGAGGTTGCATTTCCGCCAAGGATTTCGGAGACCGTAGCCCATCTAATACTTGGGATTAGGATCATCGAATGCATTGACGGCCTCGAATGTTGGCCGTCGTAGGCCCTGGGTGGCCTCTCGCAGTCGGTCTCTCCGACACGGGTACGTTCTTGTTGTTTCACAAAGCCTCCGCTTCGTAGAGTCCTATTCATGGAAGAAAATTAGCTGCCTCGAAAGAGCTGTTTCACAGCACTTGCACGATTCGAGACACCACAAACGAGTGGCTTCAGATCCCGCCAATGGGTTAACTACATTGTCCTTATCTAAGACCGGGCATCAGTAGTCTCGAGCCTCCCGACTCGATCGTAATCCTCGGATTCGGGAGTAGATTTCCCCGTCACAAGCTGGGATTTTTTTGTTTGAAGACCAGGTCTCAAGCGGATACTAGAAGTATGGGCGAGGTCGATGCAGTTGTCACAACAATGGGTCCCCGGAGTCTTACGCGCTGGCGCTTTATCGTTCGTTCTCAGATGAGTGTTAAGGAATTCCTGCAGAAGCTGGCAACACTTTGGCATTGAGGTGATCTTTGCTCGTAACATGCCAAAACACTTTCAACGTGCCTGTCACACGAAGACTTAGTCTGGAGTGTTCCAAGGTCCTATGCAGGAGTGGCCTTGAACCATTGTTCATCATTCGTGCCCGCACCGATCTCAGACACGTCCGCAAAGCTGTATCGACGCCTTGAAACGAGATATGGGGCGTGGAAAATCGCTCTGAAATATGTATATTGATGAATCATCTGATCTATTCCGATTAGGTCCACGACAGCCTGTCGGTCCTGACAAAGCAGCGGGGCTCAACTCCTTCGGACGCTCTCTCCTACTCTCTCTATCTCACCGACTACAATCTGATCCTCGAGCTTCGAGCAGTGTGGTCCTTCGACCGTAATGCGATTAGCTAGGAAGGGAAGTTCCAGATGGCCTCAGCCCCAAAATCGGTGCTCCTGTCGACGGACTCCGGAAATGTTTGTTTTCAGGAGGACAAGTGCCGCTCTCATCTAACGCGGCTCAATTGGCCGATTGACGGTCCTCGGTGAAGACTTCACAAGAGCCAGACTCTGAATGCCTGACACGTCACCGCTCAAGGAAATTGGGCACGGACTCGACCCCTTCTCCGCATTGTTGCCCTCGGCCCCCGTAACCGCTTCTCCCGAGGGCATCCTCAACCCCAGAATTCCGCATCGAAAGAGTGACGGGAAAATCGGTGCTCGAACGTGATTTCTAGATTGGAGACTCGATCTTATTCAATCACGGGAAGTAGATGACCGAGTGCTAATGATCTGAAACAGTTAGCGAAATGGGTCCGCGGAGGATTGCGTCGACAACGAGGCGACAAGCGACCCTGCCTAGTGATTAAGTTCCGAAATTACGGCGCGATTCGATTTCCAGAAATGCAAGTCCCATCATTTCCGTGTAGCCACGGAAATCCATAGAAGTCTATCGAAAACCTTTCCGGAAACCCACTCACTCCGGCTCAATCGAATTGAAATTAAATTATGCCCGAGTAGCCAGTTCTAACGCATTCCGAATAAAAACCATAGAATCTCATGACTGCGACGATCCTCGCATAGGATTAGAAACTATACGCGGTAGACTGCGGAAGGAACAAGATCTCGAATAGATAGAGGCCCCACTACGTACAGGCTTCCCGGAAGTTCCACGCACAGCCACGGCATGATGATAGGAGTTCTCTACTGGTTGATCCAGGTCAGCCCCCGAAACAATGACGAGGAAGGACGATGAGAATTGGGTGAGAAAGAGGCACTGGCGAGACAGTCGCGGTTTCCGGGAACGTGATCCATAGGTCGATCCGGGAGCCTTTCGGTACAAAATGAAATACGTAGACACCGAACGATTCCGTAAATCTTTCGCATTGGTCGAGTTCGTATAAAGCTGTTGGCCATCGACTTCGCATCTCGTTCGCTCTCTACGTCCGCAATCTACCGGACCGCCGGGGCTGAATCGCGCGGCTGGGAACTTCAGCTTCTGAGAGGAGCGACAAGGGACGCTCACCGATTTCACTATCGACAATGAAGCAGCGACCGATCCGCGTGAGAGCATTCGACCTAGGTGGGGGAAATAGGTACATCCAATCGGTCCATGCGGCGGAATCAGGAATACAAGTCTAGCCGAGCGAGGAACAGCATCTCTGGTGCCGTCCGATGCTACTACCGCTTTCCAGGCTTCGCACAGCGAAATTATAGGTTGAGCGCAGGAAAAAAAATCGACGCGAGAGACTCTATCAGTGGGCAGTAGGGAACCGCGGGGCATCTCGTTCCGATTCACCAGGTGGGAAAGTATGGAATCAGTGGTTCCTCCGACGACCGCTGCAGGAAGCACACGAAGCGGATGAATCGATAAATGTATTGGTTGCGAATGTATGCGGCAAGTGAAACATTTGAATGATGATTCGGATACGCCCACCCAGATCAAAGGAATCGTACGAGCGGGAAGAGCATGACCTGCAAAGGTTCACTTTCACTGATGCATGACGAACCCCGTAGAATAAATCGGGACCTTTCGATTGTCGGACGAGGACCGCAGATCCAGAGTGAGCAAACACGATCAGGACCGTGCTTCAATTTTTCGAGAGGATTTTTGGAGTTTCATATTTTCCCTGGGAGAGCTGTTCTTGAGCTTTCGATTCGCGGACATTGGAGAACTCCCAGCGCGCGTAGCTCGGGTGAGTTAAGGAAGGAACAAGTTCTCTTGCTCCGAATTATCGGGAGCAGCGACCAAGCTGCGACCTCACAAGCGGGGAACCGCCTACGGATTCTTTCGAATGAATTTTTCCCTTTTTCCGCTCCCCTCCTCTATGCCCTGTTCTATAGCTCCTGACATTGAATACGAAGTTTTCTGCATCCCTTTGAAGAGTCGTATACCCTCCGACTGAGAGCGGTTGCGGCATCTTCATGGCTGCATTGCGACCTTGGTCGCATCTCAAATTGTTTCGTCATGTACGCATTCTTCTCCCAGACGTCATCCTGTCGGATTGCGATGGACCAGGTTCCAGACTTGGGACTTGATGAGAGACGACGAACGGTCAGAGCCTGAATCATCGGTTTCTGCATCCTGGGACATAATCATTCGGTGTCCGCACCGCTCTTTCAGCCGGCCCGCTTCGTCCGCGACAGTTTTATTTGGCGGAGAAATTTTTGTCAGGGC